AGAAAAATTAAATATATAGCGCCAGGAATAACAAACCCATCATATGCTATGGTGGTCACATAAACTCTTAAAAATTGTAATATATTTATCAAAGCAAAAGGTAGAGAAGAAAAAAATAACTCGAACAAGAAATGCAAAAGAATAATTGAATCTATGTATTCTGCTGTTAGATCATTAGAATTTTAAAAAAGATTTATCGTGCATGTATTATAGCAAAATATTGTACGTATAAATATTTTCGCTATCAGAAAATTAAAATAAAATTTTCAGATTAGAGGGTTTCAAAGTTAATAAAAAAGTAGCGCATTTTAAAATTAAATAGAATTTTTTTTTAAATAGTATTTTACTATCTGCTATGTTAACTTATAAATCGGAGATTTAAAATAAGATAGTCTGATTTTAAACTTTGAAAACTCCTATTAGCGAATCGCTAAAACATTATACTTTATTCAATTTCTCAATGAAAGAATTATGCAAGTCTCTTTTAAAGTAAGATAAGTATTGTTTTATTTTAATCTTTTATAAAATTAAGAGATGCTAACTAAAATCCACTCTTCTTTACATTTATATTCTAAGAGGCTTTTAGCATTAGTATATTTAGTTGTCCGTTATGTTTTTTATATGAGCTATCACTTAAAGATTATTGATATTATTGACAAAATTATGACTAGATACTGTATACACATTTCAACATAACTAGTTATATGCATCTTTTCAATATTATAAGAAGTGAAGGGTAGGATGCGTGATATATTTTATAGATAGAAATGACAGAAAAAAAATAATATTTGATCTTTTGCAGAAAATACAAGAATTCATTCCAATAGAAATAATACGTCTGAAAATAATGCGCTTGAAAACAACGTGTCGAAAATAATGTATCAAGCTCGTACAAAAGAAATTGCAAAAAAGTAATGCATTTTTTCATATAATTCTTTTTTCTTATATATATCTGTAGAGAATTGACTAAATGTGACAAGTTTAGATTGCAAAACCTTGATGAAAGGAATTCGAAATATATGAGCTTAAAGAAAACTCTGAAAGAAAAGGTGCGAATAATTTAAACGATCGAGAAATTTTGTTTGGAAATGCTAATTAAT